ACAGGTACAGGTACAGGTACATGTAGAGGTACAGGTACATGTGGAGGTACAGGTACAGGTACATGTAGAGGTACAGGTACAGGTACATGTAGAGGTACAGGTACAGGTACAGGTACAGGTACCTTGCTGAGTTTCAGGGTGCGGCTCTTCTGGCCCTCCATCTCTCCACTGTTAACTGTGAGAGGACTGATGAGTCGCCAGTCGAAGGAATAGCTGCTGCCTGCAGGACACAAAGCACGTCAGAGGTCCATCAGAACCGGACCCTCTCAGAACCTGGGTCTGCCCTGTCCAGGTGCACACCTGCCTTTACCTGTGGGGGGCGGCGGGACCACGTAGGCGTTGAGCTCCACCTCGTTGTGGGGCAGCGTCACCTCCACGCTCTCACCTGCTGACACCACCAGCTCCCGGACTGTCAGAACCAGAACCAGAACATATCAGAACCAGTTAGATAAAAGGATGGACACGCCCACAACTCTGACATCACTGAGAAAAGTTCTGAACAGGTTCAGGTTCTCCTGGACCCGGACCAGTGAGGTACCACCTTAAAGACTGGACCCAGGTTCTCCTGGACCAGATCCAGAAGACGTTCTGAGGTGGTCTGAGAGGAAGAAGATCTTTCCTCCTGTCTGACCTTCAGGGTGAGAACCTGCAGGTCTCTGTGGACCCAGCTGAACCGGGCCCAGCCTCTGGCTCTGGTTCAGATCTTAGCTCAGGCTCAGAGGAGCAGAGAACTCCAGTTCTTCCTGTTTACAGAAACACATTCCTGCTGGTCCACCTCAAGAACCTCCACCTGCTGCAGGCAGGACCGAGGTCAGCTCTGAGGTCAACAGAACCGACGCCTCGGGCCCGAGGACTCTGGACTCTGGACCCCACCTCAGCAGGGGCTCACTCACCTGCAAGGACTGGAGTGGGACTTGGAGTGGGACTGACAGTGGTGGTGCTGACACCGCTGCTGTTGGAGGATGCAGAAGGACCGACGGTTCCGTTGATGGTTGAGTTCTGCTGTGAGGAGTCCGGAGAACCGTCTGAGGTTCTGTTGGCTGAGGGGCTGAGGTTCTCCTGGACCGTCTGTAGGAGCGCAGTGGTGCTGGCAGCTGTAGGACCCGCTACCTGCACAAAACCATGAGTCAGCAGGTCAGAACTCTGATGGACCGTCACAAATCTGGACTTTGAAAAGTTCACTTTTACAATCAATAAATGTTGAGTCACATGTCAAAATGCTGAGTCACATGTCAAAACGCTGAGTCACATGTCAAAACGCTGAGTCACACGTCCAAACGCTGAGTCACAGGTCAAAACGCTGAGTCACAGGTCAAAATGCTGTGTCACAGGTCAAAACGCTGAGTCACATGTCCAAACGCTGAGTCACAGGTCAAAACGCTGAGTCACATGTCAAAACGCTGAGTCACATGTCCAAACGCTGAGTCACATGTCAAAACGCTGAGTCACATGTCCAAACGCTGAGTCACATGTCAAAACGCTGAGTCACATGTCCAAATGCTGAGTCACATGTCAAAACGCTGAGTCACAAGTCAAAATGCTGAGTCACATGTCAAAACGCTGAGTCACATGTCAAAACGCTGAGTCACATGTCAAAATGCTGAGTCACATGTCAAAACGCTGAGTCACATGTCAAAACGCTGAGTCACATGTCAAAACGCTGAGTCACACTCTGGTTTCTGCAGACTTGCACCTGTCACAGGTCATGTGAGCAGGAACCTTCTGTGAGAGTAAAACCTGTGTTACCGTGTCCACAGTGTCCACTCTGTCCACTCTGTCCACAGTGTCCACAGTGTCCACAGTGTCCACTCTGTCCACAGTGTCCACTCTGTCCACAGTGTCCACAGTGTCCACTGTGTCCTCCGTGTCCTTCAGCCGTCCCGTCCTGTGGCTTCCTGCGAGCAGAGCATGACGAGTTTTTCTGGACTTTGTTCCAACAGGATCCTTCAAAATAAAAACATGAAAGAATAAAAACTAAATGTAGACAACAGACTGAGGGTCAGAGTTATGTCCTGTTACAAACAGCTGCTCAGCAAATAATGACATTAATAACAATTAACTTATTAATAATAATTTAATTAATAATGTTAACAACAACAACAATATCCTAATCAAATCTACAAGCTGAATTTATAATCTTAGACTTATTTCCTGTTTGTGTAAAGATAAAGTCAGACTTTRTCCTGAAGCTTGAACTAAACTCAACATTAATGTTCAGGAGAAACGCTGAGTCAGCACATTGTTGAGCCACACATATCATTTCCTCTGAGCTGAACTCCTTCCTGTTGACTGGACTGGTTTATTTCCAGTGGGGGAGGCGGACCTTGGACAGGAGCTGCAGGAGGCCCAGGGACTCCTCGTGGGGCTGGGGGAGGGAGGAGATGGGGCAGCCGCCCCCCCTGGAGCAGGTGAGGAGCACGCAGCGGCCCCCCAGGCTCCAGGTGGCGCCGCAGCTCGGGTTCAGGCAGCAGGCCTCCCAGCAGGTGGCCCCGCTCGTGCCCCTCGCCAGCGGGTGCCAGCCCAGACCCACGGTGCTGCTCCAGTGGATCCCCAAGATGCCGCCGGTGACCCGGCACAGACCTGCTGCCACACCTGGACCACAGGGAAGAAGAGCAGGGACAGGATGAGGACCACGGAGGACGTGTCCTCCTCTGCACCGTGTCTTCATCGTGTCTTCAGGTCTCACACAGGTTCTTCTGTTGTTGGACCAACAACCATTTACCTGTGACAGGAGCTAGAAGCCAGAGGTAGGTGAGGGGCAGGAGGAGCAGGTGAGGTAAGCTCCAGGTGAGCAGCTTGTCGTGTGCATAGGACATGTTCCACCAGGGTCCAGGACCTGCAGGGGGACCAGAGACCGAACGTTGAGGAACTCAGACCGCTCAAACCCACTGAAGAGTTTCCACCAATCAGATCCAAACAGGAAGTTTAAAACTTTTACACAAAGACACACGGCCTTGTTCAGACTGTTACCTGTCCAGGTGGAGGAAGGTGAGAGAAGAGGAGGAGTTAGGTTGGCAGTGAGGTGCTGTGAGGCGACGGGTGGAGACGGGTCATCACCAGAACTCTGAGGAACAGATCCAACATGGCCGACAGCAGAGGTCCGACTGGTCGCTACGGACAACCAGAACAACAAACAGGTCAACAAAAATAAACAACAAAAACAACAAACAGGTCAACAAAAATAAACAAAAACAACAAACAGGTCAACAAAAATAAACAACAAAAACAACAAACAGGTCAACAAAAATCAACAAAAACAACAAACTGGTAAACAAAAATAAACAACAAAAACAACAAACAGGTCAACAAAAATAAACAACAAAAACAACAAACTGGTAAACAAAAATAAACAACAAAAACAACAAACAGGTCAACAGAAATAAACAACAAAAACAACAAACAGGTCAACAGAAATAAACAACACCTGTAGACTTATACACCTGTAGACCTGTGCACCTGTAGACCTGTAGACTTGTACACCTGTACACCTGTAGACTTGTACACCTGTAGACTTGTACACCTGTAGACCTGTACACTGTAGACTTGTACACCTGTACACCTGTAGACTGTACACCTGTAGACTGTACACCTGTAGACTTGTACACCTGTAGACTGTACACCTGTAGACTGTACACCTGTAGACCTGTAGACCTGGGGCCGGCTGACCTGACAGTACTGGCAGTAAGGAGTGGGTGGAGAGAAGGACCCCCAACAGGAACCCTAAGGGTCCCTGCAGGTCCTGGTCCTGACTCCAGACAGCTGATTGACAGCAGTCAGTCTGTTGAAAGGATCAGAACTACAAGGACGGAGCAGGTCTGGTCTGGACCGGGACTCTGGACCACAAACAGGTTTTTACTGATTTGAACTAAATATTAAAAAAAAAAAACACCAGGGTCCAGACCAGAAGCTGATCCTGATCCAGATCCAGATCCAGAGCTGAAGGACTTCAGACAAAATGGAGGTTCGGTGCACCTGACGCTGACGCGCGTGTAAACATCAGTTACTGCCGGACGGACGGTTCTGTTCAGAGGACGGGAAACAGGCCGGTACCGACCTGCGGTCAGAACCGACTGGTGGCGCAGCTCACCTGAGGCTCGGTGTGTTTCACCTGGTTAATCCGGGATCAGCCGCGGGCAGGCAGCTGACATTTCTCCGCAGGAACCGACTCATCCGGCGGGCCGCCGTCAGGATCCACGCCGGGCTCTGGAGCGGGTTTCCCGGCGCTGGAGCGTCCCCTCGGCCGGTGTCTGAAGTGTCGTCGCTGTCGTTGTCGTCCGAACCGCAAAATGGGTCGATATCGTTCTGTGCGTCCAGCTGATTAGTTGAATCACTGCATGTCAACACCGAAACTACAAACACTACTTCCGGTGGCCGGATTTTTCAAAATAAAACCAACAAATGGTTCAGCCTGGAAGCCTCTGAGGCTAATATAAGCTAACAGTTTGATTATTAACACTCTTCTGAGGACATCCATCTCTCCACACTGCGTTCATTTTAAAGTTTAACTCAAGAAGACACGAACATTAATCACACTTCCGCTACTGCGTCATCTGCCGCTGATTGGTGCGTCACTGCATCAGTCAGAGGGCGGGAGCTCAAGCTCGGCTTTGATTGGCTGTTGGATCAGGTGGGCGGGGCGTTGACGCATAACGGACGCTGCCTTCTTTAAGCTAAGCTAACGCTGCTAACGAGCAGGTCAGATAAAACAGCGTCTCTTTATTTTTGCAAAGTAATGTTTATCTAATGGTTAAAATATTAAATCTTTATTTTAAATTTAAAAAACTTGCGACGCGGGTTAAAATGGCGACTCCACCGTGTAAGAAGCCCTGCTCTGATTGGTTGCCTGGGATTGTTTAAATGTTGCTATTGGCTCCGGATGTTTTGACAGTTTACTTCCGGGTTGCTGCTGAGTCGCGTGGAGCTCCTGTTCTCAGTCCGTTTACATTAAACCTCTCAGGCTTTTATTTGTTCGTTAAAGGTTAGTGAACCGACCTGAGAGCACTTCCGGTTCGGTTTGACCCGGTTTGCAGGATGGCTGAGGCTGCTCCTCCGGACCAGAGGCAGAGCAGCAGGAGTCCAGAGGAGGAGCAGGAGGAGGCCGGCAGAGGAGCAGCTCACAGCCAGGTGATGGACAGGTGTGTGCACGCGCTCACACAGGCTAACAGCGACAGTCAGAGGTTAGCTGCCCTGCTGCTGGTGAGTGGTGATCAGCTGATCAGGTTCTGGTCCCCATCAGTCCAGGTCCATGACCGGTTCTGTTGTGTCTCTGCAGATAACCCGCCTCTGCCCGGCCCCCCAGCTGGACCGACCCACCCTGAGGCGGATCTTTCAGGCCGTGGGTCTGGACCTCCCAGCCCGGCTCCTGGTGACGGCGGCCCGGGGATCCGACGGTTCTGGTTTGGCCCCCCAGGACCTGGTCTCTCTGGGCACGGCCCTGCTGGCCGCCCTGAGTGCTGACCCGGACCTGGCCTCCCGTCCCCAGCTCCTCAGCACCGTGCCCCTCCTGCTGGGCATCGTCTCAAACGGGTCGCTGCAGAACCGAGYGGGGACAGAGACAGAGTCCGTTAAGGACGAGGACAGCGGTGGTTCTGGTTCTGGTCCAGAAGGATCGGCCTCTCAGGACGCGGGTCTGGATGAAGCCGTGGCTGCAGACTGCTACCAGGTTCTGACGGCCGTGTGCCGCTCACCAACAGGTCCAGACCAGCTGCTGAGCAGGGGGGCCGTCCCAGCTCTGTGCCGGGCTCTGGACCAGAACCGGGCCCTCAGCCAGCAGAGGGGTCTGGCCCTGCTGGGGGTCCTCCTGTCTGACAGAACCAAAGACAGAGCCTGGAGCAGGCACCCTGAGGAGCTCCTGGCTCTGCTGCTCCGCCTGGCCCAGGACTTCTGCCGGGCCTCCGACCCGACCCGCCTGGGGCTGTGCTCCCAGCTGGTTCTGTTCCTGCCCCCGGCAGGAGCCGTGCCCAGGAGCCAGGAGCCGAGGAGGTCCGTGAGCCAGGTGTGGGCGGGGCTCAGGCCTCTGCTGCAGGCCCGGTTAACACCCACACAGATCGGGTCGGTTCTGGTGCTCGGCGCCTGCTTGTTGGATCTGCTTGGGTGGGAGCCGGTGGGACCGCCCAAGTTCTGCTCCCTGCTGGTGAACCGGGCCTGTGTGGAGGTCCGGATGGGTTTGGAAGAACCACCTGGGACAGGTCTGAGCCCGGAGCTGCAGCAAACCCTCACAGGTGAGTTCTGCTGGTTCTGACCCGTCAGGGTGGAAACCCAAACACCTCCCGGTTCTGTAAAGAAGCTTTTATGTACTGGAGGGTCGGTACCAGACCGGACCGGAGCGTCTGTAAACAGAGTTCTGCTCCTCACAGGATGTTACCGGATCATGGAGGCGGCTGTGGAGCAGGCCTGCACCGAAAGGGGCGTGGCTCCTCCTGGCTCCTCCCCCCTGCCTGCTCTCAGTCTGCAGCAGAGCCAGCAGGTCCTGCGGGTCCTGGAGGAGGCCTTCTCTGCCGTCATGTTCTACCTGCAGCAGGTGAGACCATGATGTTTTATCTGATTCCTGCTGTTCACTGTGGTCACACACCTCTTTCCTGTAGTCACACACCTCCACTTCCTGTAGTCACACACCTCCACTTCCTGTAGTCACACCTCCACTTCCTGTAGTCACACACCTCCACTTCCTGTAGTCACACACCTCCACTTCCTGTAGTCACACACACCTCCACTTCCTGTAGTCACACACCTCCACTTCCTGTAGTCACACACCTCCACTTCCTGTAGTCACACCTCCACTTTCTGTAGTCACACACCTCCACTTCCTGTAGTCACACACCTCCACTTCCTGTGGTCACACCTCCACTTCCTGTGGTCACACCTCCACTTCCTGTGGTCACACCTCCACTTCCTGTAGTCACACACACCTCCACTTCCTGTAGTCACACCTCCACTTCCTGTCGTCACACCTCCACTTCCTGTGGTCACACACACCTCCACTTCCTGTAGTCATACATCTCCACTTCCTGTAGTCACACCTCCACTTCCTGTAGTCACACCTCCACTTCCTGTGGTCACACACCTCCACTTCCTGTGGTCACAGCTCCACTACCTGTTTCTACAGGTGGATCCCATTCGCTACAACGAGCCTTTTGTGTTTGCCACGTTTCGCTCGCTGTGCTCGTGGCTGGCTGAGGAGACTTCCTGTCTGAAGCAGGAAGTGACCGGACTGCTGCCCTTCCTGATTGGCTACGTGCGTCGCCACCTGCAGGCCGGGAGCTCTGAGCAGGACCTCTCTGATTGGATGGTCAGGATGTCCGTCGGTAAGGAGGGCGGGGCCTGGACGGGCCAAGAGCCTCTCAGGTAAGGCCTGACACACCTGTTTGAGGGAGGGAGGTTTGAGGACAGGTGTGATAACAAGCTCCGCCCCCTCCCCAGGTATCTCCTTCCTGCTCTGTGTCACCTGTCAGCTGAAGAAGGACCCAGGAAGGTTCTGCTCAGCCTGGGAACCCCGGCACTGCTGGTGGACTTCCTGCTTCACACCTGGACCTGTGTGAAGGGGCGGAGCCACACAGCATCCACCAGAGATCCCAGCATGGAGACGGCGTGCTCCGCCCTCCTCAACTTCACTGTCACCGAGCCGGAGAGGGTCAGGTGGGTTCTGACACAGGTCCAGGTCCGGTTCTGAGGCTGGGCTCATGTGACCGCCCATCTGTCTCTGTGCAGGCAGGACCCCAGTTTCAGGACCCTGGAGGCCCATCTGAGTGAAGCACTTCCTGTTTTGGTGAATAAGCCCCGCCTCCTGGTCCTGGCAGCAAATTATGTCACTTTAGGGCTGATGATTGGCAGGCTGCAGTCTCCGCCTTCAGGTCTGATTTGATTTCATGTTTAAACTTGTTTAGAGAGAAGTTTGTTTGTTTACCTGTTTATTCTTGTTTGTTTACCTGTTGGTTGTTTACCTGTTTATTATTGTTTGTTTACCTGTTTATTATTGTTTGTTTACCTGTTTATTATTGTTTGTTTACCTGTTTATTGTTGTTTGTTTACCTGTTTATTGTTGTTGTTTACCTGTTGGTTGTTTACCTGTTTATTATTGTTCGTTTACCTGTTTATTATTGTTTGTTTACCTGTTTGTTTACCTGTTGGTTGTTTACCTGTTTATTATTGTTTGTTTACCTGTTTGTTTACCAGTTGGTTGTTTACCTGTTTATTATTGTTTGTTTACCTATTGTTTGTTTACCTGTTGGTTGTTTACCTGTTTATTATTGTTTGTTTACCTTTTTATTATTGTTTGTTTACCTGTTTATTCTTGTTTGTTTACCTGTTCATTCTTGTTTGTTTACCTGTTTATTCTTGTTTGTTTACCTGTTGGTTGTTTACCTGTTTATTATTGTGTGTTTACCTTTTTATTATTGTTTGTTTACCTGTTGGTTGTTTACCTGTTTATTGTTGGTTGTTTACCTGTTTATTATTGTTTGTTTACCTGTTTATTATTGTTTGTTTACCTGTTTATTATTGTTTGTTTACCTGTTGGTTGTTTACCTGTTTATTATTGTTCGTTTACCTTTTTATTATTGTTTGTTTACCTGTTGGTTGTTTACCTGTTTATTGTTGGTTGTTTACCTGTTTATTATTGTTTGTTTACCTGTTTATTGTTGGTTGTTTACCTGTTGGTTGTTTACCTGTTTATTATTGTTGGTTGTTTACCTGTTTATTATTGGTTGTTTACCTGTTTATTATTGGTTGTTTACCTGTTTATTGTTGGTTGTTTACCTGTTTATTGTTGGTTGTTTACCTGTTTATTAAACATCTCTTGTTGACCTTTGCTGCTCTTCAGGCTCGGTTGATTCAGCACAGAGACGCTTCTTTTCTTCGGCTCTCCGGTTCCTCCGTGGTGCCCTGCAGTCTGGTCCTGGTCCTGGTCCTGGTCCTGGTCCTGGTCCTGGTCCTGGTCCTGGTCCGGTCCAGGTGAGCCCCAGCTGGGAGCAGGACTGGGACGAGGCAGCAGAACTCTGGCGTCTGTCCCTGCAGGTCCTGGGAGACCGTATCCGGGTCCAGCCGTGGATCATGGGTCCGGTCCGAGACGAGGGCTGGTTCTCACACACCGTCTCAGTGCTGGCCCAGAGCAGCGCCCTGCCGGACCAGAACACCCAGGAGGTTCTGGAGCAGGTCCTGTGTGCCGCCGTGGAGCAGTGCTCCGTCTGCCAGCAGGAGGTCAGAGACCTGATGAAGAGGAGCGACGTAGGAGCTCTGAGCAGGATGAGCCTCCTGAAGGAGGCGCTGGGACTGAACTGATGTGGGACTGAAGACCAGACTGGGTCTGACCTGGTCCAGCTGGGTCCAGCTGGGTCCAGCTGGGTCTGACTGATGGTTTTATTTTTACACTTTGAATAAAAAGATCCAGATTTATGTTGAATAAAATAAATTTTTTATTTTAAACCAAATCTGAGATCAACAGGTGACCTTTATTAAACAGGAGCTCTGGTCCTGGTCCTGGTCCTGGTCCTGGTCCTGGTCCTGGTCCTGGTCCTGTAGAACCTGAAGAGGAGCAGACAGACAGACCCAGGACAGAACTAGAACTGGTTCTGACCCGGGTCACCACAGGGTGGTGCTGTAGGTTCTGTTTGTGGCTGTTTTCACTCTTCAAGTGAAACTTTTAAATATTTATGAGTTTTTATTGTTTTCATGCTGAGTCCAGTCAGAACCACGGACCGGGCCGGGTCAGGATTCTGTTCTCTGATCCACAAACCATCATTAATGTTTCTGTTTGACAAAATAAAAAGTTTAAATAAATAATATCAGAATAAAACCGTTTGGATCAGAACCATCAGGTTGTTCTGATCCAAACACAAACAGACAAAAAAACTCAAAAATATTAAAAATAAAATATTTTTGTCAAAATTTCATTAAAACCTTTTTGTGGAGTTTTAGGAGCAAAAAGTCCAAATCAAACAGATCTGGTTCTGATCCTTCAGATCCCAGGAACCTGGTCTAAGGTCTCAGAGGGTTCTGGACCTGGACTATGAGCCGGTTCCTTCAGAGGGTTCTGGTTCTGGTTCTGGTTCAGCTGTTTGAAGGAACTGATCATCAGAACTTTTTCTGTTTGATYCTTTAAACCTTCTGTTCTATAAATCTGTCTGGTTCCGGTTCTGATTGGACCCGTCAGGACCACCCCCCCCTAAACCCACTCCTCCTCCTCTCCTCAGTTTAACCCCTCAGCTGCGGCTCGAGACCCGGACCCGGCATGCTGTGGAAGACCCGAACCAGAACCGAGGCCGCGCAGGTAAAACCAGCACCGAACCGGGTTCTGTTCTGTTTGAACACCTGTGCGTAAAACCAGACCAACAGTTGGACCTGGCGTGTGGCGGGAACTCATCCAGAACCGGGTCTTTAAAGATCAAAGGTTCGGAACCAGAAGGTGTGTCTTTAAGACCCGCGAACCCCGCAGAACCCGCAAACCCCTCCCCTCCTGCTGCCGGGAGCGCGCGCAGCCTATAAGTGGTGCGCACACGGAGCGGCGGCACGAGTCCGTGTGCGCGCGTGTTTCCGGAACCGGAGAGCTACTGATGGCGCGCTGAGCGGATCTCACCTGGACTCACCTGTGCGTCACCGGAACCAGCGCGTCCCCCTCAACAAGTCCCGCCTGGGGTCCGGAGCGGTCCAGATGTTGATCCACACATATTCGGCCATGGTGAGTTTGGACCGGAACCGTCTGTGTGACAAAGGAGGAGAAAGTTCCGAAAAATCAGGGTTTGGGTTCGGAACCGGGTCCTGGGAGGGTTAATGTGAAGAAATGTTCTGAGAATGATTTCCTCTGGAGTCGGACTGGATCAGAACCGAACCTCTGACCGTGCGAGTCCCATCAGAGGGCTGCGGGTCAGGTGGTTCTGGTTCCTCCTGCAGACCTGCTCCTGGACCAGCTTTCCTGGACTGGATCCGGATCTGGGTTACTGTCCCCGTCCGGTACCTGCACCCTGTGTGACCCACTTCCTGTGGCCTGGTTCGGCTGACAGAACATCGACAGCATCGATCCGGCTGACCCAGCTTCAGTGCGCGCGCGTGCGTGTTGACCTTTGACCCCCGCCGCAGGCGGCTCTTGTCAGCGCGCATCACTTCAAAGGGCTGTTTCCCGCCGCGGGATGAACTGTTTGTTTATTTATTTATTTATTTATTTATTTATTTATTTATTTATTTATTTATTTATTT